CTGTAACACAGAGGTGTCTACTTCGAAGATCTGGTGGTAGTGGGTTTTCTATATCTAGCTCTAAATTGATATACATAAAATTCTAAGGAATTAAAAAAGATTTTAAAAATTCTAAGGAATTACAGATGTTTATAGGACTTAGCATATGGTAGATGCTTCATGAAGTTTCAGTTAAAAGGAATTGACATGAACTTCCTGTTTCTGATGAAGATGTGAAAGGTGGAGAGCGCCGCTGTTGGCCTAACAGTAAAAAAGCTAAATAATCTTCAAAATGACATTTCTTTAATACAGAGAGAAGTCTCAATGCAACCAACTAAACTGAAGTCTAAAGACAGATAGTTGCAAAGACAGACTGGCCACAAGCACTGGCTTACCTGTGGCTATGGGGAAATGTTGGATTATCATGGATTCAGGTATAAAGAATTCAGCTTAATTTTCAAATAAACTGCTAAAGGTCAAGTGAGGGTTATTGCAAGAGTAAAGCACCTTGGAAGTTATAGACAGAGGAATTTATATGCACTCATAGGCTCTTCTCCACAGATTCATGGGACAGATAGGAGAGAAGAGAAGCCACCACAGTGGGAAAGGCATGAAACTAGGTCTAGTTTCTATCCCCCTAAGGAATAAATGTCTTAAGCCTGAGGAGGACAGCAAACCCTATTCCCCACATTGTACAGATGAAAACTTACTGTGACTGAGGAAAGGTAAAAATAGTAATATTAAAGTCCTCTGTTTCTGGAGAAAGGGCAATAATTGGTTCTGGGCCTAAATGATTAGAAGAGTCTGACTACTAGGAGAGAGACAGGGTAACTAAGAAAAAGTCCCACTCCCATGACTCAGAGGCACAGAACCTATGACTGAACCTGAATCAGGAAAACAGAACTCCCTGCCCCACAGCATGAGGATAACAAGCACTGAGTAAAAAGCAATAGTGCCACTACAAGAGGGCAAGAGCATGGAAAGAGAATTTCTCTGAGGCACCATTAAATGAGAAAGGTCTAAAAGCTGAGGGCAGACTAGCAATATTGAGAAAACCCCTCCAGAAAACCAACCCCAACACTAAGCAGGAGGTAAGGAAGAATCTGAAACTGGTAATGAACTGAGGGTAATCACAGCAACAACATAATCCAAATGTAACTTATTTTCTTACTGTATTGACTCAACCTCCCAAATTAACAACCTAGCTAAGTGGGCCCACCTCAAAGCATACAGACCATTTACTTCAATCACTACTGTTTGACATACAGTAGAAAATGTGTGGCATTCAATGAAAAATTTAGAGATGCATAATAAGGCAGTAAGTAAAAGCCCACTCTCGAGAGAAAAAGCAGTCAGTGGTACTATCAATAGTATCAGAGATGACAGAGATGTTGAGACTATCAGAAAATTTAAAGTAACCATGATTAATATGTGAAAATCTTTAATGAAAAATCATGCATGAATAAATAAGGATTTAGGCTAGGATGTTAACTATTAAAAAAGTCAAAAAGAAATGCTAGAAATGAAAAGTCAAAATAGAGCTGAAGAGTGCTTTCAACAATCTCATCAGTAGACTTGAAACAACTGAGCAGGGAATATGTGAAAGCATGGAAAAAATACAATCCAAACAGAAACCTAAAGAGAAAGGAAAATGAAACAAAGTATATATATACACTAAAACCAGAGAATCTAAGAGCTATGGGATAAGATCACATGATCTCACACATATTTAACCAGATTTCCAAAAGGAGAAAAGAGAGAATGGTGCAAAGGAAATATTAGAGAGATAAAGGCCAAGAATTTGATCAAAATAATGAAATATGTCAAACTACATATCCAAGAAGTTCAGAGAACTCCAAAGATCTCCAATTATTATCTCTTATGAATACACACACACACACACACACACACACATAAATTTAAAAACTCTAGACATCTCATGTTTAAATTGATGAAAAATAAAAATGAACAGACAAATCTTACAGGTAGCCACAGGAAAAATAACAAGGAGCAATGATAAGACATGAACAGCAGACTTCAGAAACTATGGAAGCCAGAAGGCAATGGAGTGCCATCTTTAAAATACTGGAAGAAGGAAAGAGTAATTGTCAACCTAGAATTCTATAACCAGTCAATATCTTTCAAAAATGGAGAAATAAATACTTTTCACACAAAGCTAGAGAATTCATTACCAGAAGCCCTGAAGTATAAGAACTATTAGAGGAAGTTCTTCAACATTAAGTTTTTCCACACCAAATAGAATTTTAGAGCTATATATACATATAGATAGGTAGATAGATAGATAGATAGATAGATAGATAGATAGATAGATATGTAGATAGATAGATAGATAAAAGAAGATTCTAGAAATAACTAAAATGAAAATAAACATAAAGGACTTCTTATTTTTAATTGCTTTAAAATATAATTTACTGGAACCAGAAGATGGCATAATGCTTACTAAAACTCACACCGGGTGCTTTTGTGTGCGTGCCCAAGATTCTGAGAGGAGAATGAAAGAGAAGGGATTGTGGCGTGGCCACCCCCCCTGGGGGGTGATTTCTCACTTTCTGTCTCTCTGTTGCTCTCTGTCTTTCTGGCGAGTGCACGCACCCTATAGCAAAAACTTCTCCAAAAAAGAAAATATATATAATTTACTATGTAAATAAAAAATAATATACTGAGCACCAGGGAAGAGTTAGAATGGTGAGTATAGAAAAAGCGTAAGTGCTATCAAGGGTTTTGTATCATATGTAAAAACAAAACAACCGTAATCATAGCACACCAGCTGGCACACAACTCAGTGAAGTGGTGGAATATCCCTTGAAGGTATTCAGCTAATTTAGGATGCATAATGAAAATCTTGATCACAGTTCTAGTTGTATAACCATATGTATTAGTCCAAGTTCATGAAACAGTACATTTAAGCTAGATTTTACCGAATGTATATAACTCAGTAAACACTCAGTAAACAGTGAGTGTTTATAAAAGAAAATTTCATTCACAACTTACCTTTTCAGCTCTTGACTTTTCTTCTTTTTATGGCATCATAGTTCTGATGAATGATGATGAGAAACAATCTTTTCTGTTGTCTTGATGTCTAATCTTACCTTTGCTTCTTACCTTATATGACTGAGGTTTTTATTTCTAACATCTGGAGGAGGCTCTATCCCTTCTAATCAGAAGAAGTGTACGTACACTCATACCTACACATGCATACCCCTCAGGAGTTATAATGTGTATAGAGCCTTAGAGATTGTCTATGTGCCATAAAGAAGAGGAACTTCTGTCTATGTATAAGGTGAAAACTGACCAAGATCACAAAAAAGTTAACTAATAATTCATTATAATATGTAATTGAGGGGCTGTCAGGTGGCGTGGTGGTTAAGGATGCTAGACTCCCACACGGTAGATCTTGGTTAGAGTCCCGGACCTGGCGTCTTGCTTTTTCACTCTCCTTCTCTCTCTCTTTCTCTTTCTCACTCTGTCCCTCTCTTGTCAAAATAAAATAAATAAGTAAATAGATAAAGCTAAATTAAATAATTCTTTTTTAAAAAGTTATAATTGAGATAGCATAAAAAATATATTTCGGTCTGTATCATATCAGTCTCCATAACTTATTGGTTTGTTAATAGGTAAGGTCAAAATGGTTCGAAAACACTTTTGTTGTAAATACTGGCAATCCTTTATGATCCCTATACTCACCAAGGTTATTTCTGCTATGAGGACCTGTGTACATGTTATTTCTCCTACTGAATATATACGCTATCAGTGCTTTTATGCGAAGTTAACAAAGCATCTTCCTACACCAACATAGGTAAATGAATTAGAAAAATAGGTCCGTTCTGGGCAGATGCAGTCTCAGAGGTGCAATGCTTAGCAAGCAGAGAGTAACCTTGACTAAACTAGCAAAAAGCCCCTTCCTCTTGACCTAAACCAGGACACTTCCACATAACTTATATGTAGAGGACCTATAATTAGTCTTTAGTAAGAATTAGCCTAGGACCAGTTATCTGGGTTTTGAGGGACAGCCCTGGGAAAGAGGAACTCTGCATTTGTATAGATCCTTAAGTAAGACTGAGAGAACATCAACTCCCCATTTTAGAGAGTGGAGGAAGGATGCCTGGCCAAAGTGGTAGGGCTACTAAAGCACCCCCAGTCAAGCCCTTGACAGTGCCTTGTCTCTGTGTAGAATGCATTAACATCACCCTTCACAACCACACCTTTGCTTGATTAGTTCATATTTTCCCTCCTTGTATGTTCATTATTTTCCACCTTTCAATTTAAATTAAGCCTCTCCATTCCATTTTGATATCGTTAAGAATCCATACAGACTATATATTGTGATTGCAATTATACAGTTATTTGTGTGCTTATTATGTAATATATGTGGCTTCCCCAACCACCACACCCCTACACATACATACTTAATCACACATTTCTTAACCACAAACCCCAGAAGAGCAGAGCCCTTCTTCAGCACTTCAGTCCTAGAGACTATTGCAGTGTCTGCCACATGCTTAATGCTTAATAAGTAATCATTAAATAATTGCCAACTTTTTCTTATTAGAGTCTTCAGTAATTTTTTTACAAACATGCACATACTCATGTACATAGGATGATACAGAATGTTATAAAGATTTTCCTTTATATAACCTTCAGTTTAAAATTCAATCTGAGTAATCAGAATGGTATGGATATATAATATAAAACAAGTGATATATTAGGGTAGATTACATCTTATTTTAATAGGTCCCCATTTCCATTGGTGATTTTACTAACTTTCTACTAATAATTTTTAGACCTTATGTTTGATAACTATAGATTTGCCAACACTCCTGTTACAATGCCAAACAATAATTCTAACAGACATCACTCAGCTATCTTAACCTGATTCATTTCTCTAAGTGAAATGTTGTGTCTTGGCATTATTTGATTTGCAGTGTGGGGGTTGACTCACAACTTTGTTGTTATTAACTAATGAAAAGTGAATAAATAATAAATAATACAACTCCACTTACCAGATATATTCTGCCATAAGTACCAAGACCAATGGTTTTATCTAGTGAGAAAATTCCAGTAGGATCCTGCAAAAAAGTAAAATAAAAACTGTCAGTCTTGAGGACCAGCAGATGGCGTGGTAGTTAAGGCACTGGATTCCCACTTGGCTGACCATGGTCTGAGTCTCAGACCTGCCAGCTTGAAAATCATACCGGCCACTCGTACATGTGTGCCCAAAAGTCCCAAGAGGAGAATGGAAGATAAGGAATTGTGGCATGGTCATCCCCCCTGGTGGGTGATTTCTCACTTTTCTTCTCACTGTCTCTCTTTCTCTCCCTCTCTGGCAAGCACACACACCCTATTGCCAAAAATTAACAACAACAACAAAATGTCAGTCTTCTTGGGAAAATAGGTATGTATTCAATCTCCTTAAGTGGCACTTTCAATCTGCAGATTGCCTTGTTCCCTTAAAAATTACCTACGAAGATCCTAAATGTCATTTACCAAAAAAACAAGCATGTCACAATCTCCTGGGTCTGAGTGCAGTGATTTATAAAAAAGAGACAATGTTATGGACATGAAAAAGTTATATAATTAACTGTTGGGGTCAGCAGGTTGTTTGGTGGTTAAAGACTCTGTACTCCCACATGGCCAACTGTGGTTCAAGTCTCAGACCTGGTGGCTTGCTTTGTCACTTTCCTTTTCTCTCTCTCTCTCTCTCCCTCTCTCTCACACTCTGTCACTCTCTGGTCAAATTTAAATAAATAAATGAAGTTAAATAAAATAATTATTTAAATATATATATGTAATTAACTGTCATAAAACTGAAAATTCACAAAATTATGCAAAGCTAAGGAATAATCATGATACAATTAGAAAAGTAATTAAAATAGAAATAAGTTTATTTACTTGTAATTGAAGTACTCATTTAATGACCATATTTTGAGTGCTAAGCAGACAGACAGAAAGTTTAACATACTAGATATCAAAATCTTGATAACTTATTTATATTATAGCAAATATTAAGACAAAAATATTTCCTTGGGACCAGCAGTTAGCATAATGGCTATGTTGCTGGACTCCCATGTAGTCGACCACAGTTCGAGTCCCACATGCCAGGCATGTGTGCGTGTGTGCCCAAGATCCAGACAGGAGAATGGAGGAAAAGGGATTGCGGTGTGTCCATCCCTTCTGGGGGGTGATTTCTTGCTTTCTGTCTCTCTGTCTCTCTCTGTCTGTCTGGTGAGCACATGCGCCCTATAGCAAAAACCTCTCAAAAAATTTCCTTTAAACAGGAATAACAAAACATTATCATAGCATTAAAAAAGTATCACTAAGAGCCAGCAGGTGGTGTGGTGGTTAGGCCAGCTGGATCCCACATGGCCAACTCTAAGGGTTTGAGTCTCAAACTCAGCAGCTTAAAAAATATGCTAGGTATGTATGTGTGCATGTCCAAAATTTTGGGAGGAAAATGGAGGAGAAGTGACTGTAGGCTGACCATCAGTCCCCTCTCTCTGTGTCTCTCTCCAACAAGTACATATGCCCTATGACAAAAATCCAAAAATATTTTAGAAAGAGCATCATTAAAAAAAAACGAGACTGGAGCCAGAAGTTGGCGTAATGGCTATGTCACTGGACTCCCATGTAGTCTTTCACAGTTCGAGTCTCAGATCTGGTGGCTTAAACTCATGCTGGGCGCGTGTGCATATGTGCCCAAGGTCCTGAGAGGAGAAGAGAGAAGGGATTGCGTCATGCCCCTCCTCCCTGGGGAGTGATTTCTTGCTTTCTGTCTCTCTGTCTCTGTCTTTCTAGCGAGTGCACGTGCCCTATAGCCAAAACCTCTCAAAAATCAAAACAAAACAAAAAACTGAGACTGTTGTTTTCATGTTTTTTTTTTAAGTTAATATTTGCATCAGCTGAATACATTTTCATGACACAGACTGATATATTCTGTGACTTAAGCATAAATGTGCCATCATAGGAAACAAAATTATAACATGTTTAAAGAATAGAATCTTAAAATTTTTATTTTCATCCTCAAGCACTGTTAACTTACCTTTGGATATGTGTATGCTTTCTTGTTCACCACAAACCAGGATTTCTTGAATTCTACCACTGCCTAAGCTATGAGTTTAGTAGGCCATTTTGCTATTTTAGCAAAGTTTACGTGAGTCGTAAGGAGATGCTAATTTATACACCAAATGGTAAGAACACTGGCAAATTCTTAGAAAGTCATTTGCTTTATAGAAGTACATTTTCTATACACAAACTTTGCTTAAGCCAATTTGAAAACATTTTTATCTTTGTGACAAGTGTGAGCTAAACAGAAAAACTATTAGCATATATGACATATCTGAATGAAGTTACAGACTCCTTAAAACTGATGTGATATTCCTGTAATCTAGCAAAACCGTCATAGAAAAATGATAGAGCTCTGGGGTTACTTAGTCAATAAGTATTCAACTGGACCAAAAGTCAGGCTATTTGAATTTTAGCCTAGTGCTACCATTAACTAATTATATATTAGTTGTTTTTAGTTATTAAATACCTATATGGGGTTATTTACTCTCTCTGGGATTCAGTTTTCACATACATAAAATTAAGATGTTGAGTTAGATGATTTTTCCAGCTCTAAAATTCTATAGGAAAATGTCAGATTATACCATTCTAAAATCCAGATGTTTCTACAGGATTGATACAACCATTGCTAGGGTATACAGAAGCCCAGTATCGTACTTTCTCACAATGATCATCACAGTTAATGTCATGACAGACAGAATCATCACTATAAGCGGATAGTTCAGGAAACATACTCTCAAAATGTAAATTTTTTACCGTGATAATTTCTAGGATTAAAGAAGTAAAAACATATTGGTATATTGCCCTTGATAAGAAGTATATCACTCTTGTTATAACTGATTGAGAAATGTATGGGAAAAAGTTAGTCAACAAAGGAGTTGCTAAGGACCGCTTGAAGACTATCACTTTAGCATATTTCTTTGAAGGATGTTATGGATGGATTTATTTCCGACATTATTACTGCTGGAGAAATAGCCTCTGGCCATCTGTCAAAAAATAAAACGTGTAAGCACATTCCTATTGGTAAGCCATTCTTTGTTATAGCTAAGGTTCATTGTAAATGAAAAAGGTATCTTATATTAGAGAATTACTATTTTGTCTATATGATTTTTATTTATGAATTTTTTTTGTAACCATGTGAAATTTATTTTTATAGCCCTCTAAAACACAACTAGTTTACTCAGATTAGAACTCACCTACCTAATCACTCAAAAAAGACACAAAGGATAGACTAGGATAAAAACAAATGCCTGTGAGAATTCAAGGAAGCCTTATTTAATCTATTACATCTTATTTCATGTTGTCAGAAAACTTATTCTTCCTCATTTAATAGAATAATGTTTCAAAATTTTCCTCTGTTTTTAAAGGTAACCAACTTAGCATTCATGTATTTAAGACTTTATTGTTGTCAGTAGTTTTATGTGATTTTTTTGATCCCTATCTCCTTGCTACTATCTTTCAAGACTAAATGATTGTTAAATTTGGGGAAAAGGAGGAGAGAGACCATGCTAATTACTCAATTTCTTATATAATATTTTCCATTTATAATCAAAGCAGATTTATTCTGCACTCTCTAGGAAGGAAGCACTGAAAAAGAACCCTTTCTTTTGTCACTGTAAAATTAAAAGATCTACATCAGAGAGGTCTACATAACTACTTGGACCTTTCCTCTGCCCTGCCCACCCAGAGATAGAAAACTAGAAGAGGAAAGATGTTTATATCTATATCTATGATTACTTTATCAAGCTAGAGATTAATTGGGGATTCGGAATGTTGGTGTCCCATTTGGGCAAACAAAATTGTCAGTAAAGAAAAAAAATCCTCATTTCTAAAGCTTTTCTTGAAAGAAATTGCTAAAAACCTAATTTTTTTTTTGAGAGGTTTTTGCCATAGGGCACGTGCGCTCGCCAGCCAGACAGAGAGAGACATAGAGACAGAAAGCGAGAAATCACCCCCCAGGGGGGATGGTCACGCCGCAATCCCTTCTCCTCCATTCTCCTCTCAGGATCTTGGGCACGCACGCACACGCACCCGGCGTGAGTTTTAAGCACCCGGTGTGAGTTTTAAGTCACCGGGTCTGGGACGTGAACCGTGGTCGACTATGTGGGAGTCCAGCGACATAGCTATTACACTAACTGCTGGTCCCAAAACTTAAGTCTTAAAAATCTAAAATCTAAGTCTTAAAACATTTTTGAACCATAAACTCTTAGACGGATACTTTATATATGTTATATCTTTTGTTACATCTTTTTGATATATCTCAATTATCTTCAACAACTTAAAAGTCCTAGTCTGGCTGTCCTCTGAAACTCAATACTTTAGGAAATTGTTTCTGTCTTCTGAATTCAAGAGAAGGGGGAAAAGTATGGACACCTTGATGGCTAATTTTAATAAGGGCCAGGGGACAGGAAACCAAGAAGAAAAATAACCACTAGAAGGCAGTGTTTACTGGTCAAGACAGAGCCTTTGGAAGCACAGGCTGATGGCGGGAACTAAACATGGCACTGATGAAGGAGTGAAGACAATTGTAAGTCAACACAGGGAGCAAGAAATTTCAAATTTAGAATAGTAAAGAAGCAAAGTGAGGGAGCACAGTCTAGTAGTCAGGTAGCAAGAGGAAGGAAAGAGATTGCACAGTAGCTGGAAGGAGATTGCAGTAGCTTTTCTTCTTTTATTATTCATATTAGAAACAATGGTTTTATGGAGCAAGAGCCTGATAATGGTGGATATGCCAAGATAAGTGTCAAGAGTAAGTTTCAAAGCTCATTGGAGAAATAGGCTTCACAAGTGGAAAGTTCAGAAAAAATCTTTCCCTTTAGATTAGTGGGGGGCATAGGCTCTCTCTACATGAAAATCATCTGGGGAATTATGTTAAAAATAGATTATTTGAGCCTACCATAGAATAATAAAATCAGAATTTCTGGGAGTGAGTCCCCAAGTTTCCCAAGTCATTCCTGATTCTTGTGGACTATTCTTGTGCATTGATATATGAAATTCACAGTTACAGAAACTGGAAAAAAAAAGACCTAGAAAATACATTGAAGTACAATGTCATATTGAGGTGATACTGAATATGTACTAAAGACGACACTGAACATTTCAGTTCTTGTAGACTTGGAGGTAAAGCTGCTTCCAAACAAGGAGCTAAGGGACTTGGTAAGTGGGAAGTTTCTCATGACTGAGTGTGGAAAGTAGGTTTAGTCTGGGTGGTAGAAAACTGGGGAGCCGGCAGTTATATTTAAATATAAACCTAATGTAATTCAAATATAGTTTTTGGATCATGCGCTATTTCAGATCACCTCTGCCACTACTGTCCTCAAGGCTTGTCTAATCCTGACCCCAATATAGATTAGGACTACACATGGCAGTGTCAAATACCAAGGCCACAGCCGTGAGGAATGTCATTACCATACTGGGCACAGAGGCAAAAGGGACAATCATAGTGAAAGACATGCCAGATTTGGAGATGAAGAAATAGTTTCCAGTCCCAAGTATTCAGTGACAAAGGCATACTAGAAAAAAATACATGCATATATGAAAATGGACACACCTCCAGGTATTACTGGTAGGCACAGTATATACACAAATATTAGGCTGTCTGAAAAGTCATGACTTATTTTTCTATGTTTTCTATGCAAAAATGTGTCATGACTTTTCCAACAACCCAATATATGTATAAAAGACATAAGGCTTTGCAATTCTCTTTTCTAAAAGGAAGCATAAACCACAAATCTCTAAACTTTCTTTTTTATCACCTATAGTAAAAATTTATTTAGTAGAAAATCAGAAAGAAGTCACAGTAACCCATTAGTTAACAAACATAATAGAAATGACCTGTTGTACATTGGAGCTTAAGTTGGCTCTCTTATTTTATGTTTTTCCCTTTAATGCATTATGCAAAAAGTTATATAATTATAAAAATTAATTTAAAAAAATTTAAAAGCTAAGTAA